TTAGAGACCTCCCCCAAAGCTCACTAGACAGAAAATCAGGTGACCAGCAGAGGTCACATATTGTGAGAACTGAGGTTAATCATAGTGATTTATACATTCAGCATGGTCTGGACATGTAGGTCATCACTCTAAGTGAAGATATAACTATTATTCATCACTGTGGTATGAGTATCAAAAAAATCTGAGAAGTTGAGAAAGGAATGTTTGTGGGCAAGTAAGGTGAACAATGACTAATCCTCATGTGAATATGTCTGTTCAGGGTCACTAATTCCCAGGGGTGCAACTTTCATTGGGGACGGGGGGACATGTCCCCCCCCCACATTCTGAAATTGAATTTGTGTCCCCCACCCAGTTGTATCATTGGAATGTGATACAAAACAGGGCAACGGAGTGCTTTAGGACCATGCGGACGCCTCCGAGTGGTCGGGTAGGCTGTTTAGAGTGTTTAGACTGGATCAAAAATAAAATATATAATTATGTCCCCCCCACTTCTAAAACCAATGTTGCGCCCCTGCTAATTCCTTTGAGTCAGAAGAATGTTTAAGAGTTTAACCTTAGCAGGGTTAAATAGGGTATTTCACTACAAGCAAACACACCATGATAGACTACTTTTATTCACAAGAATCATAGCAGACTGGGAAACCAACCGCCTAAATGGACCTCTTTATTCCATCTATTTATGCACTGACAAAGGCCTTGTGACCGAGACATGGCATGTGGTTGGCTGTATGTATAGTTTTTACTCCTCATCACTCACTCTTCATCAGGACAGGTAGTTGTCACATTGTGACATGTGGTGGGTCTGTCGCCTGGCAAAGGTTCCAGTGGAATGTGACATGAGATGTGGTGTTATCAGCAGCTGTAAGGCATATTTGTGGAGGGGATATGAATGAGACATTTTGTTATAGGGAAAGGAACGAAGGCTCACACAGAGAAAGGCTAGACGCACTCTTCTTCGGTTGATTGAGTTGACTCAATGTGTTTGTTGGTGGTGGTAGATACGCCCAGTATGCAAGGTGTTTCAGGATCGCATGAGAGCCTTCTGCGTTTCTGTTTCAACGCCCGCCTTCGTTCATTATAGAGCTCACTCGCTAGTCACGGACTTGAGACAGCGTTCACAGCAGTACATTTTATTTTTAGTTTAGAACATATTATACAGTTGAAGTCAGAAGTTTACATACACCTTAGCCAAATACATTTAAACTCCGTTTTTCACAATTCCTGACATTTAATCCTAGTAAACATTCCCTGTCTTATGTCAGTTAGGATCACTACTTTGTTTTAAGAATGTGAAATGTCAGAATAATAGTAGAGATAATTATTTATTTCAGCTTTTATTTATTTCATCACATTCCCAGTGGGTCAGAAGTTTACATACACTCAATTAGTATTTGGCAGCATTGCCTTTAAATTGTTTAACTTGGGTCAAACGTTTCGGGTAGCCTTCCACAAGCTTCCCACAATAAGTAGGGTGAATTTTGGCCCATTCCTCCTGACAGAGCTGGTGTAACTGAGTCAGGTTTGTAGGCCTCCTTGCTCGCACACGCTTTTTCAGTTCTGCCCACAAATGTTCTACAGGATTGAGGTCAGTGCTTTGTGATGGCCACTCCAATATCTTGACTTTGTTGTCCTTAAGCCATTTTGCCACAACTTTGGAAGTATGCTTGTGATCATTGTCCATTTGGAAGACCCATTTGCGACCAAGCTTTAACTTCCTGACTGATGTCTTGAGATGTTGCTTCAATATAGTCACATAATTTTCCTTCCTCATGATGCCATCTATTTTGTGAAGTGCACCAGTCCCTCCTGCAGCAAAGCACCCCCACAGCATGATGCTTCCGCCCCCGTGCTTCAAGGTTGGGATGGTGTTCTTCGGCTTGCAAGCTTACCCCTTTTTCCTCCAAACATAACGATGGTCATTATGGCCTAACAGTTCTATTTTTGTTTCATCAGACCAGAGGAAAAAGTACGATCTTTGTCCCCATGTACAGTTGCAAACCGTAGTCTGGTTTTTTTATGGTGGTTTTGGAGCAGTGGCTTCTTCCTTGCTGAGCGGCCTTTCAGGTTATGTCGATATAGGACTAGTTTTACTGTGGATATAGATACTTTTGTACCTGTTTCCTCCAGCATCTTCACAAGGTCCTTTGCTGTTGTTCTGGAATTGATTCGCACTTTTCGCACCAAAGTACGTTGATCTCTAGGAGACAGAACGCGTCTCCTTCCTGAGCGGTATGACGGCTGCGTGGTCCCATGGTGTTTATACTTGCGTACTATTGTTTGTACAGATGAACGTGGTACCTTCAGGCGTTTGGAAATTGCTCCTAATGATGAACCAGACTTGTGGAGGTCTACAATTTATTTTCGAGGTCTTGGCTGATTTCTTTTGATTTTCCCATGATGTCAACCAAAGAGGCACTGAGTTTGAAGGTAGGCCTTGAAATACATCCACAGGTACACCTCCAATTGACTCAAATTATGTCAATTAGCCTATCAGAAGCTTCTAAAGCCATTACATCATTTTCTGGAATTTTCCAAGCTGTTTAAAGGCACAGTCAACTTAGTGTATGTAAACTTCAGACCCACTGGAATTGTGATACAGTGAATTATAAGTGAAATAATCTGTCTGTAAACAATTGTTGGAAAAATTACTTGTGTCATGCACAAAGTAGATGTCCTAACCGACTTGCCAAAACTATAGTTTGTTAACAAGAAATTTGTGGTGGTTGAAAAACGACTTTTAATGACTCCAACCCAAGTGTATGTAAACTTCCGACTTCAACTGTATATTCATGTTACCTCCACGGATGCTCTCTCTATATCTCTGACACACGCGCTCTCTTTTTCAGAACTCTCCCTCTCTCCCTCTCTAGTAGATTGATAGCCTGTATCTGCATGCCCAAAGAGATAATACCGGTGTGTGTTAGAGGTATAGTGGGGATGTCATGCCAGTGGGTAAGCTATAGAGCTGAACGGACACTCAGACATGTTTGATTGATTTACATTGTTGGCATAAAGATTGAAAAAAAAGTGATAAATTAAGTGAAATATAATAATAACAATATATTATTATACACAACCCTCTAGCCACTTGTATTATTACACACAAGTACCCACTCCCTTCTGGTGTAGGAGCAGCGAAGAGCTCGAAGGTGCGCACTGCAGGTGAGCGCTGTCTTTTCAGCACCACACTGTTATTACGCACCGCAGTAACATTTAAGCTGGGCCTTACCTTTATCGAAAGACACCAGATGTCGTGTCCATTATCGTTATATAGGCCTGCTATAAGTTGAACATCCGATAAAATAAGGGGTCTTAGCAACATTTGTTACTGGTTGTCATGAAGACTCCATAAACACAAATAAAGAGACGCATGGGAAAAGTTTCAAACAGGTGAATGTTTTGCAACAAGTTGAAGTAGGCAATTGGTCATCATCTAACAGATCTCAGATTCCATCCAACAGATTGACACCGATTATGAGCGTTTGGGGGGAGGCAGGTCAGTGAAACCAAGCCAGTTACACCATGAGGCTTTACTTAGAGGGAGTTGTACCAACGAAAGTAAACAAAACGAATCTTAAACGGGGCGAATGCTTCACTTCATGTGTTCCTCTCAGTCCGTTGGTACCTATTAATGAATCGATGTTGGAATTACGCTAATAATATAATATTTACGCAAGCTTGTATCATGGTGGGTAATTGTATTGTCTTTCGGTTAATTTGTTATTGATTTGTAAAGTATACGAGAAACATTAAACAAGTGAGGCAGCATCCATCCTTGGAGGTTATTATGAGTACATTCATGGCGAGATGCGGTTATCTGTGAACGTTCACATCGGTCATTTGGAATTTCAGTTCTAGGAAACAAGAAAAAAAGCTTCCTGGTAAGCGCGTATTGCAGATAGGCTATAAGTGGAGTGACGAAAAATTGAGAGCGCAAAGAAATTCACAAGGCAGAGAGCGGATGATCCGGAAATTTGAGTGATCTTTTCTATTTACGAGTGTTCATAACGCCATTCTAATTAAAGATGGTGATCCTCGAGGGACAGCTCCTTACGTATGAGAGCGAGAATAAAAAGTGAGTGGCACCCTGGCAAACAACCTGAGACTTCATCTAGGCGCACAGAAGTTAGCCTACAGGCTATATGGAGCGGACCTTTTAATTGCTTTCCCATTCTCTCCCATCAAGTCGGTCAAGGAAGGATCAGAAGATGACCGCACTTGCAGCCCACATACACTTATAAAAACAGATGATTATCTCCTTTCCTCTGCGGTCGTGTTTTAAATCGTGGAATGATATGGGGCAGAACAGTGCCGAAGACTGAGTTATCCGGCGAGGTTCAATTGCTTTGCCATTAAACATCGACGGATTTACTGGAGGATATTGGAAACGGAGACAAAACAGGTAATTTCACAGTTTTCCATCGGACTTCTCTCTGACACCTTCTCAAGTGCACAGCATTCTGATCAACTATAGCATTTTATTTCATAAAGACAACATTAGTGTCCAACATAAGCAGAACTATTGAAATTGCTATAAGGAATTGTAAGAAAAAGTAAACTTGTTTGGAACTATCCTACAAAGTAGACAGTCTGTTTTCTTTGAATAAACAAATATGGATCAGATTGATCAATGAAAGTTGGGTAGTAGCCTGTTAATCTCCTAAATAAAGTAGATATCCTATTTGCTTGCATGAACGGGTGTGAATAGGCTATATCAAATCAAATTAAATTGTATGTCACATGCTTCTTAAACAACAGGTGTAGACTAACAGTGAAATATATACTTTGTTTAAGAGGACAGGATATATGGGCATGGTAGATGTGGGGTTTATAATGTAATAATTCATGTTGGAGAAAGGCTGAAGATAAGAAAACAATGTAATGGTTCTGTGCGTCGGAGGGCTTAATTTGTGACCCCCAAGTCTTAACTCTTGCAGGGGTCTCGTGAAACTCAACGCAGCGTCAGAGAGGGAGATCACTTTCCTCAGCCTGCGGTAGCGATGAGCGGACTGTGCAAGCCTGTAGTTATGGGGCTCATGTTGCTGATCTGCACTACTACCAACCACTGTGAGGAGAGCGCGCCCGCCGCTGCTCCCACGGTCGCGAAGAACGACAAGAGCCTACTCAGGTGGATAGTGGACATAGTGAAGCACGTGGAGGAGAGCCGCGGTGAGAACGGCACGAACGCAGCATTGCAGTCGACTTCTAGGAGAGAATCCCCGGTTGAGCCAAAAAGGGATTTACGGAACCTCAAAACAGATAGTGGTGATCAAATTATTGGTGAGTTCGCACATTGACAGCGGGGCGTTGCCATGAACTCCAAAATATGTTGTATAACAGTCTTAAGTGGTGGTGTAAAAAGAGCACCACATAATGTAAAGCGCTATGAGGGTGCTGGGTGCACATCTTCCAAATATGTTATGCCTTGGGAATTTTAAAGTTGCTGAATCTTAAGAAAGTGATTTACATTTGACATTTTAGTCATTTAGCAGATGCTCGTATCCAGAGCGACTTACAGTTAGTAGCAAACTTTGATCTCCTGTTCTGACCCCGCCTTCTTTTTTGTCTTTCAGAAATATTTCCTAGAGATCTCAGAAAGAAAGAAAAGTTTTTAAAACACTTAACAGGTGAGATATACATCATATGGCATGTGTGAGAGAGATATTTGAGTGTGGTGGGTCAGGATGTAAAGGATAAGAAAGGGAGAGAAAGGTGATAGTAGTTGGTCTGCATTGCTTTAATTCAAAGGCTTTCTCTGTCCCTCAGGTCCTCTGTATTTCAGTCCCAAATGCAGGAAGCACGTATACAGACTATATCACAACACCAGAGACTGCACAATACCTGCATGTAAGTTCCTCAACCTCTTCATATGACAAAGAATACATTTCCCCTGGATTTAAACCAGTGTTTATAGGCACAACACACATGTTATGTATAAGGGGAGGCGTAGTACTGTCTCCCAGGCATTCATCCCTCCTCTACTTCTCTTCTTTCCTTTTAAGACTTCAAAAGATGTGCGCGGCTTCTCACACGCTTAGCGGGGAGCCCACGATGTACAGAAGGGTAGAAGAAATCAAGTAAGTGTTCATATCATTAAAAAATATATAGTTTTTCCTAGTCAGGTCACATGGTCTGGAAGAGCACAGGGCCCTAAGTATTGTGCATGTTTGTTTATGGCTGAGGTCCTTGTCTATTCAGTGAAACATTGCATGACTACAGTTGTAAAGTACTAATAACAGTCTAATGGGCTTTACACAGGTCAAACAGAAAGTGTTATTCAAATACAACTGTTTCATGTAAAATAATATGCATTGTTAAACATGACACAAATCAATTGTACTTTTCCCACATAAAAAATACATGTTGCAAAAGTGAAATGTGGCCTACAACACCTGGCCAAGGTAAACTGCACCTCACATGGTTCCAATTCACTGCTTACAGTCATAGCGTTAAGTTGAAAGGAAGAAGTTAAGTAATGTTAAAATGTATTTCTCAGCCTTATAGGTAGATCTAATCAGTGCCATGCACGTTGTGTCCACACAGTTTTTGGAGTACAGCATGAAATGCAGATCTGTAACAAATCATGTTTCTTTCTCCATTTTTCATGGTATTTTTGGAGAGGAAAGAATTTCCGGGCGCTGCCAAGTACGAGAGAGCACTAAATTTCACTTCCTCTCTCTCGCAGGTTGAAGCCAAACCAGAGCTGTCCAGAAGAGAGACCTGAAAAAAAGTGCCTTGGACAATAACAGGGAAACCAAACAAACTCAAACCAGTCACGTCCGCCATTATACAGTGTCCGTCACCAGAGAGTTCACTATTTTACAAAGGCATGGATTACCACCCACAGGCCTCCCTGGCCCCTACACAGTCTGTGGTCACTGCGGGTCTTGACAAGAGACTATACAGAAGATACAGAAGGTGAAGGAAAAAAAGACAAGGGAAAAAAATGGCAGCAACTACAGATTTAGGGGTTACTATTGTCCTGCTGGCTGCCCAAAACTGAACTTCCTTCTTTCTTTCTTGTTTTTTACCAAAAGAAAAAAAGGGATTTCTTTTGTTTGTTTTTAACCCCCCCCCCCCCCCCCCCCCCCAAAAAAAAAAAAAAAACGATTGAAATCAATCAAATCTTTTGGTTGGGTTGCGACATGCCTTTTTAGGTTGTATTTATATTGTGGTTCGGCGTCATATCTTTGTCAGCAGCACTACCTATTAGTGGACAAAAGGCATTCTCTCATCTACCTGTGACCACACTGAAACATATGATTAAATTATTAACTGCATGACAATTTCCTTGCCTTTTTATGTCTTTGTAAGACATGTATTAAAACAAGAGACACTATATATTAGGCACTGGTTGCAGTCAAAAGTTGTGTGTAAGAAGAAACCCTCCTGTGAATCTCAGTTGAGTGTGGTACATAGTATATTTATATATTCAAGTTGTCACATGTTTTTCTCTGTATACAGTATGTATAAACATTCTAACCTGAGTGCAATATGTACATATTGTAAAAAGCATAAAAGGAATCCACATAGCAACCATAAATTAAAGTGTTCGACATATATTAACTTGGTGTTAAAAAATATATATCAAAAACATGAAATATATTTAAATAAATTATAAGATTGGTACAAATATGAGCAGCCTATCTCTGTTGTTTCCTAAAGTACAGTGGGGGAAAAAAGTATTTAGTCAGCCACCAATTGTGCAAGTTCTCCCACTTAAAAAGATGAGAGAGGCCTGTAATTTTCATCATAGGTACACGTCAACTATGACAGACAAATTGAGAAAAAAAATTCCAGAAAATCACATTGTATGATTTTTAATGAATTTATTTGCAAATTATGGTGGAAAATAAGTATTTGGTCACCTACAAACATGCAAGATTTCTGGCTCTCACAGACCTGTAACTTCTTCTTTAAGAGGCTCCTCTGTCCTCCACTCGTTACCTGTATTAATGGCACCTGTTTGAACTTGTTATCAGTATAAAAGACACCTGTCCACAACCTCAAACAGTCACACTCCAAACTCCACTATGGCCAAGACCAAAGAGCTGTCAAAGGACACCAGAAACAAAATTGTAGACCTGCACCAGGCTGGGAAGACTGAATCTGCAATAGGTAAGCAGCTTGGTTTGAAGAAATCAACTGTGGGAGCAATTATTAGGAAATGGAAGACATACAAGACCACTGATAATCTCCCTCGAGCTGGGGCTCCACGCAAGATCTCACCCCGTGGGGTCAAAATGATCACAAGAACGGTGAGCAAAAATCCCAGAACCACACGGGGGGACCTAGTGAATGACCTGCAGAGAGCTAGGACCAAAGTAACAAAGCCTACCATCAGTAACACACTACGCCGCCAGGGACTCAAATCCTGCAGTGCCAGACGTGTCCCCCTGCTTAAGCCAGTACATGTCCAGGCCCGTCTGAAGTTTGCTAGAGTGCATTTGGATGATCCAGAAGAGGATTGGGAGAATGTCATATGGTGAGATGAAACCAAAATAGAACTTTTTGGTAAAAACTCAACTCGTCGTGTTTGGAGGACAAAGAATGCTGAGTTGCATCCAAAGAACACCATACCTACTGTGAAGCATGGGGGTGGAAACATCATGCTTTGGGGCTGTTTTTCTGCAAAGGGACCAGGACGACTGATCCGTGTAAAGGAAAGAATGAATGGGGCCATGTATCGTTAGATTTTGAGTGAAAACCTCCTTCCATCAGCAAGGGCATTGAAGATGAAACGTGTCTGGGTCTTTCAGCATGACAATGATCCCAAACACACCGCCCGGGCAACGAAGGAGTGGCTTCGTAAGAAGCATTTCAAGGTCCTGGAGTGGCCTAGCCAGTCTCCAGATCTCAACCCCATAGAAAATATTTGGAGGGAGTTGAAAGTCTGTGTTGCCCAGCGACAGCCCCAAAACATCACTGCTCTAGAGGAGATCTGCATGGAGGAATGGGCCAAAATACCAGCAACAGTGTGTGAAAACCTTGTGAAGACTTACAGAAAACGTTTGACCTGTGTCATTGCCAACAAAGGGTATATAACAAAGTATTGAGAAACTTTTATTATTGACCAAATACTTATGTTCCACCATAATTTGCAAATAAATTCATTAAAAATCCTACAATGTGATTTTCTGGATTTTTTTTCTCATTTTGTCTGTCATAGTTGACGTGTACGTATGATGAAAATTACAGGCCTCTCTCATCTTTTTAAGTGGGAGAACTTGCACAATTGGTGGCTGACTAAATCCTTTCCCCCCCCCACTGTAACGGGCAATATGATTCAATTGGAATCTATGGGAATCCAGCAGGTTGCACAGGTCTCTGGTCTCCTTACAGGTCTAGATTAATACACTGAACAAAAATATAAAACGCAACATGTGAAGTGTTGGTCCCATGTTTCATGAGGTGTAATAAAAGATCCCAGAAATGTTACATACTCACAAAAAGCTTATTTATCTCAAATGTTGTGCACACATTTGTTTACATCCCTGTAAGTGACCATTTCTCCTTGGCAAAGATCATCCATCCACCTGACAGGTGTGGCATATCAAGAAGCTGATTAAACAGCATGATCATTACACAGGTGCACCTTGTAATGGGGACAATAAAAGGCCACTCTAAAATGTGCAGTTTTGTGACACAACACAATGCAATAGATGTCTCAAGTTGAGGGAGCGTGCAATTGGCATGCTGACTGCAGGAATGTCCACCAGAGTTCTTGCCAGAGAATTGAATGTTAATTTCTCGACCATAAGCCTCCAACGTCGTTTTAGAGAATTTGGCAGTACATCCAACCGGCCTCACAACCGCAGACCACGTGTAACCATGGCAGTCCAGGACCTCCACATCCAGCTTCTTCACCTGTGGGATCGTCTGAGACCAGCCACCCGGACAGCTGATGAAACTGTGGGTTTGCACAAGGAAGGATTTCTGCACAAGCTGTCAGAAACCGTCTCAGGGAAGCTCATCTGCGTGCTCGTCGTCCTCAGCAGGGTTTTGACCTGACTGCAGTTCGGCGTCATAACCAACTTCAGTGAGCAAATGCTCACCTTTGATGGCTACTGGCATGCTGGAGAAGTGTGCTCTTCACGGATGAATCCCGGTTTCAACTGTACCAGGCAGATTGCAGACAGCGTGTATGGCGTCGTGTGGGCTAGCGGTTTGCTGATGTCAATGTTGTGAAGAGTGCCCCATGGGGGCGGTGGGGTTATGGTATGGGCAGGCATAAGCTACGGACAACGAACACAATTGCATTTTATCGATGGCAATTTGAATGCACAGAGATACTGTGACGAGATCCTGAGGCCCATTGTTGTGCCATTCATCCACCACCATCACCTCATGTTTCAGCATGATAATGCACAGCCCCATGTCACAAGGATCTGTACACAATTCCTGGAAGCTGAAAATGGCCCAGTTCTTCCATGGCCTGCATACTCACCGGACATGTCACCAATTGAGCATGTTTGGGATGCTGTGGATCTACGTGTACGACAGTGTATCCCAGTTCCCGCCAATATCTAGCAACTTCGCACAGCCATTGAATAGGAGTGGGGAAAAAATTCCACAGGCCACAAGCAACAGCCTGATCAACTCTATGCGAAGGAGATGTGTTGCGCTGCATGAGGCAAATGGTGGTCACACCAGATACTGACTTTTTTCTGATCCATGCCCCTACTTTTTTTTATTTTTATTTTATTGTTTAAGTTATCTGTGACCAACAGATGTATATCTGTATTCCCAGTCATGTGAAATCCATAGATTAGGGCCTAATGAATGTATTTCAATTGATTTCCTTATTTGAACTGTAACTCATTAAAATCTTTGAAATGTTTGCATGTTGCGTTTATATTTATTTTCAGTGTAGATTAAAATATGAATAAAACACTTTGCAAAGTCTTATCTAACATTCACAGTATGTAGTGTAATAGTAATGGACAATGAGCATTAAAGGGATACTTTGGTCAGATTAACTGTTGTTATGTCTCTGTGTCCAGTATGATGGAAGTTAGAGGTAGTTTCGCAAGCCAAGCGAGTTCATCTGACTCTGGGGAAGTAAAGGGCCTCATTGCCAAAATCCCAAAATATCCCTTTAAAGCCAAGTCATTTTTGCTTAATGAGCATTGAGTGAGCTTGCCGTCTGGGAAACTGTGTTCTGTCAATGGGAGTTCTCTTTACCTCAGAGAGAGTAAATATTTGTCTGAAAATGTCTATTTGTTTAAGTTCAAATGACAAAGTAACCAAACAGTCAACCATTTGTTGTACTGCAGCGTTTATGCATTGTGGAGCCCATTCCCCCGTGCCAACATGTTTGTTCAAACTAGTTGGCAAAGCGCTCAACCCAAAGTAATTCTTTTTTTCTCAGCCTGATACTAAGAGTCCTACTCAATCAAAATCAGACAGACACTCAACTTTAGATGAATTCAAATACTCTCTCGTGCAATGCTGAATAAATAATTCACCATGCTTTGGCTTTACCCTAGTACTACAAACTTCTGCTTGCTGGTTTGGATTGAACACAGTCCTAAGAGGATAGACTGGACCACACTAGCAGAGAACAATGTGTGGAGGGACATTCCTTTGGTCGTTCCACTCAAACACAATATATCAATACCTTCTTCATCTACATCTTCTGGTTTATTATGCATTACCTCTCCCAATTTCTGTCAATCACAGCCTATGAACTAAATCCACAGTGATATACACCTGAAAACTTAAAATTCAGGGTTTATTTTCATGGGCATTATTCTGCACTACCTTGGGCTGCAATGGTTTGGGATGTTAATAATCTTTGACACAAGGAGAAATATGAGCAGGTCCAAGTCAGACATGCCAGGAAGAAAGCTTTCACTTTAAGTCTTCCATAATGATGAAGGTGCCAGTGGTGAGATAAAGAGGCTAAGTAGTATCATTAGCTAATTATGAGAACAAATCACTGCAAACTATTGTTTAGTCCTCTCTTCTCTCCAAAATAACAATAGCTGAGCTACAGTAATTACACTCATTAAAGTCATTTTATAGGTTTTGTTTGATCAAAGCCCTGATGTTCAAAGTAGGATGTCATGGGAGGAGTACAAATGGGAGGAGTACAAATGGAAGAATAACTCAAAATAAAAAAATTGTGACATGAAAGTAACTAACTAAACCCTTGTCAAATACCCACCAAGATTATCATTTGGGCAAGCATTAACTTTGACCCTGGTCTCAACCTTTAACCCTGCCCTCTGAACCCTAAAATGTCTGGTCATGCCATAATGCATCCATATTAATCTCTATAAACTTTGACGGCTACGTTAGACTAGATTAGACTAACAATTAACAAAACGTAAAACAGAGAAATAAGATAGAGAGAGAATAGTTAGTTATGTTGAGTATGTATCGCTTATTTGAAGAGGAAGAGAGCTGACAATCAGCAAATTCCTCAAAAAAGCATTTTATTTAGGACACAGTACAGTAAACAGTTTGTTTTACAGTTAAGACATATTGTAGATTATGTGACGATCAACTGATTGCTACACCATATTGATGGGATCTACTGTTAGTGTGACCAGGCAGATGTGTATTGTAACTGCACAACTATGGGCGATAAGTGAGGACCATTTCTTTACAATCCAGCTAGTATTTGGGTAGATGTTCACCGGTCAGATCTCGGGTCTTGTTACGAGTTGTTTTCCAAAAACACTTTGCAGCATCTCACACATTGTTCGTACACATTTTCAAAGTCTTCCTCATGCCCCTACAAGACAGAAAATAAAAGGGAATCAATTAATTTTGCTTCGAAATATTTTTATTAATAAAAGTTACAGAAATGATTGCTCTTCAGAAAGCTATAAAAATACAAAAAATATTGCTGTGTTCATCAATATATTTTTTATAAGGCATTTAAATAGAGCCATCAAAATAAAATAGAAGGAAACAGCCTTTTCCTTGAGCAACGAAGCAGTTTATCTTTCTCCATATTTGAATCAGAAAGCCTCTAGTTACTAGCTCAATAATTTCCAAACCTGGTAGAATATACGGCTGACATTGGATAGCGGGTTTCTTCAGTGGAGTCGTCGTCGTCCCCCCCCCCCCCCCCCCCAAGTTTGTGTGGCAAACTCGTTTAAAACTCAAAATGTACACTGTGTGGATAGTAATGTTTAACGTCAAGAAGAGACTCTTTCCAGAAAAATATACAAAACAGAGTGAGAAATAAAAAATAATAATAGATGTAATATCTGTCCACATGCATTGGTGAAACACAGACAGTCCATTGTAGAGGCCGGTTGGGGACTCCTAAGGCGATGATCTCATATTCATAAACAATAATATCAGTAACAACCAGGGAAAAGGGCCGACAACTCAGAGTCTATGCATGACAGCGGCATGTAACCTCCACTTTAAAAAGTTCATCCAAAAATGAAAATCTGTCAAGATATTTTCTTTCCTCAGAAATGGTTGAGTGCACATGCTACAGCACCTGTTTCGTAATATGTTTGAAAGTGTTTTTTACTTGTTCAGGCCATTGTAAAGGTAAGAACCGTCTGAAAAAGAGTAGTTTTTTTTTTATAGTGGACTGCTCGTTTTATACCATCCTGGAACTAAATTCAACAGCAGAAATGTTCAGAAATGAGTCCCTGTACAAAATGTACTTGGACACATTTGACAGTTAGCCTTTTAATATACTCCTTCATAAGAGCGTCTGCTAAATGACGTAAATGTAAATGTTGGCAGGAGAACAGCCAACCACACCTGAAGACTCTTAAAACACCTACCCAGTTCCTCCACCCCCTTCAACCCAGTCTATGATCCAAACAAAAAGGCTCCAAACTAAGTCTCAGATACGCCCTCCTCAGAGCTCGTCATCAGCTCTACGGTTGGACTGAGAAAATCGTGTCTCCATTTATTTAAAAAACAGAGCCGTCTGGCACTAGTCCTTTCCTGTGCTTCGCTGCCATGTGTTGTGGCGACGGGTAACGGACCACAGCCCAGCGCTGTCGACACGCCAAAATATTTATTTACGCGCCTCTGAAACCATGTTTCAGGCTAAGCTCCCTCTGGCTACCACAAACACACAGCTGGTGTTAAAGGTCCAATGCAGACATTTTTATCTCAATATCAAATAATTTCTGGGTAACAATTAAGTACCTTACTGTGATTGTTTTCAATTGAAATAGTCAAAAAGAAACAAAAATAGCTTCTTAGCAAAGAGTAATTTCTCAAGGAAGAATTTTGCTAGGACTGTTTGGGAGTGGTCTAAGTGGGGAGGGGAAAACTGAAAACTAGCTATTATTGGCAGAGAGGTTTGGAACTCTTTCTTATTGGTCTATTCATTAATTGACTGCCTGGAGGCAAGCCAAAACTCCATCCCACCAACAGGCTGAAATTCCAGGCGTTTTCAAACAGCTCTTACACTAAAAGGGCATTATCATTTTCACAATATTATTACAACCTCGTAGTGTGGAAATATATATAAAACACAGGAAAATCACATTTTTGACTGCACTGGGATTTTAACACACAGGGACAGACAGCCAAGAAGAGGAACACATGATTGAGCCAGTGCACACACACACACTTTCTTTTGGTCAACCACAACCATCTCAACATTAATACTTTGCTGTCATTATTCTATCAAAAGTGATTTTTCCTGAAACCCTAATATAAAGATCTCAATTACCCACACATGACATTAGGCGATCAGAGGTCTACCCGCAACATGCATGTCCCTAGTCAAGACCACACAACAAATTCATTAATTTATTATTTTAACAAGAATATAGGACAGGCGATATGATTTATGTAGCATTCCTCATCAAACCAAATCCAGTTTGCCTGCATTTTCACATTCCTGAAACGTTTTCCTACTTTTTTCTAATTATCTTCCTCCGCAACAAACTGAGACTGTAGACCAATAACTAGACTTCAATTATCAAACTAACTGCCATTCGACCCCCCCCCCCCCCCCCCGCCATTCTCCCTCCCCCAGTATCAGCCCCCCCCCATCACATCCATGTAGAAATCCAATTTATTCTGCATAAACCAACCGGCCTCCACTTCCGGTGCCATTTGGCAGGACTTACGAATTTACGATTTTTGCGCTAGTTGGCTGTACCTGCATCAAAACTCCAGTATTTTTCCTTCATAGCTTGTTCTCCATCTTCATTTTAAAAAGGGAGCCAATTTGTTTTCAGCACTTTAATTTCCATGACTGATCAAGACTTGTTTTCTCATGGCTCTCTTGTCCATCTGCAGCAGACATATGGTGAGCAATATGTTTGGAACATTGAAATCGCAACAAATCGAATTATCGAATCCATACAGAATTGTGCATATCGCAATACATATCGTATCGGCACCAAAGTATCGTGATAATATTGTATCGTAAGGTCCTTAGCAATTCCCAGCCCTACAGGAATACAAGATCTTGCTACTGGTTTCCCATCAGAAACCAATTATTCCATACAGGGGTTTTAACTGGGGATGACATGAGGCTTAGATAGTGCTGGTGTGAGTACACAAGGACTCCCGGAATTGTGGGCGTTAACATGGAAACTTACCCTGTGGAGAACATGACATTGTTCTACTGAATGTGTTACCTTACCTCGCTGTAAGTGTATGGATTCATGTAGCCTACAGTACTTTAGAATAATGTTGGCGGGGTAAGCCATATGCAGTCATGTTTCTTTTTGATTCACAGCGCGAACAGCAGAATCCATTTTTTGTCTAAGCCTAGTAACCCAGTTGTGACCAGATAGGGCCCCTTAGTACTGGTGGGAAAACACTAAGTGTTTCGCACTGTCAGTGCAGTAGACTTACGTAGTAAGGGTCTTTGATGATCAGTTGTTTCTCTGGGTCGTACGAGCCCAGCAGCTCGATCTTGGCTTTGCTGTTTTTCACAGAGTTCGCCTTCTTTTTCAGGTCACTGTACAGAGAGAGATAAGTCAGAGACTGTTAGGATTTGTTCCTGTGACAATACTAAAGTCAATACCACTGTACAGTGTTATTTTGGACCAAATATTTTACAGACTTTTACAAATTTAACAACCCATTTGATAGAACAACTTTTCTAACTTTTATTGTGGTATAAATGGCCATCTGTCCATAACAAATGGAACCAAATAAAAAGGTTTAATGAGTCTTAACCACCCATTTTGTTGGTTTGGTGTGTCTGTGACATGCAAGAGCCTGTGAAAAAGAACTTCCTTCACATAGGACAACACATCTATTCTATTTCAAGTCTTCTAAATGGCTTATTGTGGTATATGCTATCAGTGCATAACAAGTAGAACTCTGAAACCAAATATCAATATAGTTCCTTAAAGGCTACACAACTTCTTCAAACAAGTCCTCACAACCCAACTGTGGAAATGAGTATTTTATTGACTTTATTGGTTTCTTTTATTTTGATGTTGGGGTAATTAGGCTTATAAATACAACAATACACTCAGACAGTAATAAAAGTAGAGAGGAAGGATCCATGCACCATGCCTGGCTGTAAACCAGACCACAGGGGTTTGGAAATGCAGCGGATGGATTTTAAAAAACTATTACTAACCCAGGCACTAAAACAAAGCTGTTGCCAGGTCCTTCCCATTGTAAGCAGTGTAATGGCTCAAATGAGATGGCCAGTCATACTGCTTGGACGTAGAGGGGACTGACTCCCCCACATTGAGGGTATGGGGCCAAGCTGGGAAGCCTCCAATACTGGGAATAGGACTCAAAACAGGAAACTACCGCCCACCACTGCCACCTCCCATGCCTAGCACTGGGGTAGAGCAGTGGCCCCCTGTCGCTTTCATGGGGGGGAGGGGTGTTAAGGTGAGTTGTATAGCACTGCACTGTAAATGTAGAATGCAGCGGAGCTAAAAGGGTTCCTGGTTCCCACTGACTAAACTGAAATGTAAGTAAAGCACTATAATCCAACACACACACAAACTAACTGGTGACGATTAATTAGGTCATTGGTAATAATTGGCGGGGAGTTAAGGTTAATCTCTTTCTCTCGCTAGCCAACCAAATACTTGGAGAGAGAAACAGAAAAAGGAGGAAAAGGGAAAAGTAGCCCCCAAACAGCAAAGACCTCAGTAAGCTGCTTACTGACCAAATCCGCCATAGGCATGTGATCTCTAAATTATCCCTGAACGTTCAAAGTAGCAAGAAATATCCCTCCCCCTGCCCAGGCTTCACATGCAAACAGCTTAGGGACACTCACTTGTTAGACAGACTTTACCCCTACACTTTACATAGACCTTGAGGTGTACATGTTTGCCTAAATGTCACGTCTGCATCTGTGTGTGTACACACAATCGCCAAGGCGTCCCCCTACCTGACCTATTGCAGGGAAAGCCAAACTTTTTAACATAGAGAATGACAGCCATCACCAAGTTCCTGATATAAAGTTTGGATCTGACAATGACTTCATTCCTATTGTACTTTTTTTGCTTGGTCTGTTCTGTCTATCTCAATTTCCCGGGCCATTTCTACACTCTGCATAAGCTCTTCTCTGCCTTAGTTTGTGACCCCGGTAATCATGTGTGGGTAAGTGCCATAGGGTCAGAGAACAAGTAAACCCCAGGGATGTTCCTCAATTATGGCTTGTTTTTTACTCCAGTAAATAATTTTGAATGGCAGCCCGGAATAAAATAGACTTGTGATGTCATGGCACAGAACACCGTTCTATGAGTCAGTATCCGTGCAGATGTTGCAAATTGTGTTAACCCCCCTCTTGAACAAAGGAAGCAGACCGAGCACACACACATACGCATGGACACACACATGCACGCACGCACGCACTCACACACATATGAACATATGGTTAAGATGCACATACCTCAAATTGCTCTCATCCATGCACAGAATGTAGTCAAAAGTCATAAAATCCTCCTTTGTCACCTAGAAGAAAAAAACACAGAAGACAAAATGTTAACATTGGCACTGGTGTTTTTAGAAGACTGCATGCTGTGCTTTCTCTATAAAGTTGAACTGTCAGGCACTAGGCCTTAGATAACTTGTGCATGGTAAATACATTCCATTACAGTGGTAAAGACCTCTCCCTGGTTCTCAATGAGTAAAATTGAGACTCATTAAGAAATTTGAGAAGTTCCAGAGAACTCTGAGAGGAAGGAGAAAGAGGGAGCGCGAGAGAAGGAGAGGAGCTGTGTCTGGGTCCCCCCCATGTTAAGGGTTATGAAAGGGATCAAAGCAGTACATCTAAGTACAGTGCATTCGGAAAGTATTCAGACCCCTTGACTTTTTCCACATTTTGGTTACGTTGTGTACAGTCTTAATCTAAAATGGATTAAATGAATTTTTCCCCTCGTCAATCTACACTAAATACCCCATAATGACGAAGTGAAAACAGGTTTTTAGATATTTTTGAAAATGTATAAAGAAATCTGTAACAGAAATACCTTGTTTACATAAGCGTTCAGACCCTTTGCTATGAGACTCGAAATTTAGCTCAGGTGCATCCTGTTTCCATTGATCATCCTTGAGATGTTTCTACAACTTGATTGGAGTCCACTGGTGGTAAATTCAATTGACTGGACATGATTTGGAAAGGCACACACCTGTCTATATATGGAGTTTGCCAAAAGGCACCTAAAAGACTCTCAGACCATGAGAAACAAGATTATCTGGTCTGATGAAACCAAGATTGAACTCTTTGGCCTGAATGCCAAGTGTCACGTCTGGAGGAAACCTGTTACCATCCCTACGGTGAAGCATGGTGGTGGCAGCATCATGCTGTGGGGATGTTTTTCAGCGGCAGGGATTGTGAGACTAGTCAGGATCGAGGGAAAGATGAACGGAGCAAAGTACAGCGAGATCCTTGATGAAATCCTGCTCCAGAGTGCTCAGGACCTCAGACTGGGGCGAAGGTTCACCTTCCAACAGGACAACGACCCTAAGCACACAGCCAAGACAACGCAGGAGTGGCTTCGGGACAAGTCTCTGAATGTCCTTGAGTGACCCAGCCAGAGCCCGGACTTCAACCCGATTGAACATCTCTGGAAAGACCTGAATATAGCTGTGCAGCGACGCTCCCCATCCAACCTGACAGAGCTTGAGAGGATCTGCAGTGAAGAATGTGAGAAACTCCACAAATACAGGTGTGCCAAGCTTGTAGGGCATACCCAAGAAGACTCGAGGCTGTAGTCGCTGCCAAAGGTGCTTCAACAAAGTACATGAGTAAAGGGTCTGAATACTTATGTAAATGTAATATTTCCGTTTTTTCTATTTTTAATACATTTGCACATTTCTAAAAACCAGTTTTTGTTTTGTCATTATGGGGTATTGTGTGTAGATTGATGAGGGAAAAAAACAAAACGTTACCCCTTTTTCTCCCCAATTTCATGGTATCCAAATTGGTAGTTACAGTCTTGTCCCATCGCTGCAACTCCCGTACGGACTCAGGAGAGGCGAAGGTCGAGAGCCGTGCATCCCCCGAAACACAACCCAGCCGAGCCGCACTGCTTCTTGACACAATGCCCACTTAACCCTGAAGCCAGCCGCACCAACGTGTCGGAGGAAACCCTGTACACCTGGCGACCGTGTCAGCGTGCACTGCATCCGGCCCGCCACAGGAGTCGCTAGTGCGCGATGTGACAAGAATATCCCTGCCGGCCAAACCCTCCCCTAACCTGGACGACGCTGGGCCAATTGTGCGCCGCCCCATGGGTCTCCCGGTCGCGGCCGGCTGCGACAGAGCCTGGACTCTAACCAGGATCTCTAGTGACACAGCTAGCACTGTGATGGAAAAAAAAAACAATTGAATCAATTTTAGAATAAGGCTGTAACGTAACAAAATGTGGAAAAGTGAAGGGGTCTGAATACTTTCCGAATGCACTGTATGTGGATCTTGTTTCTGTAACACTTACTCAGCAGCCATGGCTCAGGAGAGAGCGAGGCCATGCCTCAATTATGGTTTGAAAGGGTTTCTAGGGTGGGACTTGGGAATAGAGAGGTAAAAAGAGTGAAGAGAAAGAAGTAGAGGGAGTAAAGACAGAGAGAAAGAGCGATTTACATGAAATAAATGTACATGAAAGCTGTAATAAGAGTATATAATAACTACGTGTTGTGTATGGATGTTGGTAGGGACAATTTGTATTGATCCTAAAACCCTTGCTAAATCAAAGTTTCCATCCACTGCTATTTCAACACGGTAGTTCCCCGCTTGGGCTTTACAGCGCAAACACACACACACAATATGTCTTCTCCCTTTGCAATAATCTCTGGTTAAAATCCTCATGTGAACCCCCTCCACAATGCAGCGATAGAGCCTGGTTGGATTTCTGGAATTTTTGACTGACAGTCGGGGAGGCTGTTATATGAGGAACGGGTAGGAGGGGAGAGATATAAGGAGAAATCAGGGAGAATGAGGACCTGGTCTGAGGTCAGATAGATAAAAAGTTCAGAGACCGTGTGGAGTTGTTGAGTTATTGTATGACTCTTGGTGTGCAGCGAGTGGAGCAGGGAACTATCTTCTTACAAAAACCAAACTGAGTCTCAGCAAGAGCTCAGTCTAAAGCTACAATAAGTCAAATGTGGTGATGGGAATTGGGATGACACCCAAACTGAAAAAATTGCGCTTGATTCTGACTATTTGCATTCAGGGCAAAAAATCATTGCGCTTCAAACCCCTTGCAGGGCCCCCTCCAATCAAATCCATCATCCGGGATTTCCAGTGTTAAGACTAACATAACTTAATCTTTCTCTGTAATGATACACTTTCTCTGTAACGATACACTTATGGATTCATTTACTCAATAAAACAAACAATTAATAGTCTCCATTCTATCCCCTTGCCGTTGTCTCTCAATAAAACAAACAAAACTCCAGTTTTTGATTAAACAGAGCGAGAGAGAGAAACTCAGAGCTTGTCAAAGTTCATTGCGTGGAGACATGGGTGGCTCTGAGCCAGGGCAGCGTTGAGCTCCCATCCCTAATTTGTGGAGATTAGAACGGGGTCGGCCTCTGTCCGTTATGCGAGACAAACCAACATGACGGCAGCTCCCCTTCCCAGCATTGGGTCAGGGAGGGCACCAGAGAGCTGGCAGGAGAGACAGGGAGAGCTGGAAATACTTTGGAGAGAAAAAGACCAGCAAAACATGAGGCCCACTAACACAGTTGGCAACCAGGGTTGGGGTGAATTCCATTTCAATTACAGTCAATTAAGAAAGTAAACCAAATTACACATTTTCTACAATGAAAAGCGTGTACGAGAATTGGAATTTCAGCGTACTTCCTGAATTGACTGGAATTGAAATGGAATTAACCCCAAGCTTGTCTCTTTCAGTAGACTGAGTAGATTTGGAGAGCCTAGATGTGAGGATACCAGACTTCATAACATCTTGGTGTGATTTAACAGCAACTTTCAGGATGCAATACTAAGCATTTGCAATAAAAGTTAGTACTGCTAGGAAAGTCATCGTGCTTGAGTGTTTCATACATAGGATTTAGGCTAATACAGCCAACTCACACACACTCTATCCATGCCACACACATTTTTATACATAGTCTCCACAGTGACCCAGTGACACAGCAAGGACCCCAGGGTAACTGATGTATCATATACCTGTCGGGCCCTGTGTTTTGTCTCAATGCCATGTGTCCTCAGGCAGGCCAGACCACGGGCGTCCGGGGAGCTGCCTGTGTTCCAGTCAGTCGTGGCACCACTGTCTATGACCCACTGCAACAACAGAGAACACAAGAGCTAACTAGCTAATGCTAACAAGAAGGAGAAAGGGGTTGGTCGTACCTGCCTGGCTACATGCCTCATGGGCACGCCATGTTTCTTCATGCAAGCTTGACCACGGTGGTCTGGAGGGTTGCCTATCTCATAGGTGGAGGTGGCAGCACTGTCTATCCTCCACTATGCAGAGCAGGAGAACAGCAACGACAACAACACAGCAAAATGTATTCATATGCACGTACACACAATGACTCAGCACATGCAGCACATTAGAGCAATCTAATAATACCTTAATAATAGGTTGAAATAGTTCAGTCTAATTCGTTTGTTTCGTTTTAAATCAGTGCTCTCTTGAGGATTACCTTGACTCCGCATTAGCCTATACTGTTAAAAAGGACATGGAAAGCAAAAAAATCAATGCATCCCCATCTCTAGAAGCAGAAGACTGCCGAGCTTGGAATATGATGCAGAAGGGGGCACAAATCTTTTTATCAATCAAAAGAGTACAGTAGCTCAAATGCGCAACATATGTGGAGGGAAGGCTATACAAAACAAGTGATCAAATATTTGCATTACTTCTATGTAACAGAGCAGTCAAGATGTTCCTGTGAAGATCTACACTCACATATACAATTAAGCCTTTACCTTGTCAACAACACCAGCATCTGTCGCCATTTTCCTGAAGACTGCTTCGGCGATGGGGGACCTGCAAATGTTCCCTGTTCAAAACAATAATACATAATAAACTGACTATCATTAGAGTGCTTGGGTAAATTAGGTCACGCTGCTTGCTTCGCCAGTACCGCTTCCTCCTGACTCAGCTCATACTGACGCTCGAACCTAGGACCTCTGCCTTGCAAACACATATGACCGCCCTCCTGAAGTGTCTTACCCAGTCGCGCCACCGAAAAGTTAGCTATTTGGCAGTGCTAGTGGAGATACTTAAGGCTGAGGAGTGAGTTTCACAAATACCCATCTGCTACACTTGCATCAGCAAAAACTCTTGATCTCACAATATCCCCTGGAGTCTTGGCTAATATCTTACCTTATCTACCCTATATTTCTGAATGAAAAATAATAATTTAACTTGTTGAGACCCAAGTAAAACTGACTATCCTACCGATCCTTGACTTCGGCGATGTCATTTACAAAATAGCCTCCAACACTCTACTCAGCAAATTGGATGTAGTCTATCACAGTGCCATCCGTTTTGTCTCCAAAGCCCCATACACTACCCACCACTGTGACCTGTACGCTCTTGTTGGCTGGTCCTCACTACCTATTCGTCGCCAAACCCACTGGCTCCAGGCCATCTGTAAATCACTGCTAGGCAAATCCCCGCCTTATCTTAGCTCATTGGTCACCATAGCAACACCCACCCGTAGTATGCGCTCCAGCAGGTATATCTCACTGGTCATCCCCAAAGCCAACACCTCCTTTGGCCGCCATTCCTTCCAGTTCTCTGCTGCCAATGACTGGAACGAATTGCAAAAATCTCTGAAGCTGGAGACACTTATCTCCCTCACTAACTTTAAGCATCAGTTGTCAGAGCACCTTACTGATCACTGCACCTGTACACAGCACATCTGAAATTAGCCCACCCAACTACCTCATCCCCATATTGTTATTTATTTTGCTCATTTGCACCCCAGTATCTCTATTTGCACATTATCTCTTGCACATCTATCATTCCAGTGTTAATACTAATTGTAATTATTTTGCACTATGGCCTATTTATTGCCTTACCTCCATAACTTGCTACATGTTAACACACTGTATATATATTTTCTGTTGTATTTTTGACTTTATGTTTTGTTTTACCCCATATGTAACTCTGTGTTGTTGTTTTTATCGCACTGCTTTGCTTTATCTTGGCCAGGTCGCAGTTGTAAATGAGAACTTGTTCTCAACTGGCTTACCTGGTTAAATAAAGGTGACATTTAGTCAACTACAGTGTTTGATTGGCTGTATTACAGGGCAATGTGATCATGTTTTACATTATGCAATTTGAACAATGGAATGTCCTTGAAATAAAATCTCAAATTCACAGTTCAATATAACATCTTGGAAGCTGGCTTTTGACTACGAAGCCTGCCTGGCTATGGCACAAGATCTTTGTACATCATTTTACGTTGGACGCTACTGTCCAAAGATCTTAGGCCATGGTAGAATCATTGAGCAACCTTTTCATTGCCTTTGTATTTCAGAAATTGATGTGCAATTTAGTTAGCTAGCTAACTCAATAGCTATTGTACCAATGGTTTAGCTAGCTAGTTACACAGTAATTTAACTTCTGTAGCTAGCTTAGCATAGTCCCCGTTAGCATCACTTGCCATTCATGTACAAACGGCAGTCAGTTCCAAGTGTATAGCAATTGTTTTAATGTATTATCACCTTGACACACCATTGACTCGTTATGTGCATGAAATCACACAGACTGTGGGTCTTTTCTTGGTCGTTTCTTACCCAAACACACGAACAGAACCGATTTTCCACTGCTGGCTGCCATTTTGCTTTTAGGGTCTTACGTCAGTGTCACTGGAATTTGGCTAGAAGGGATACAGTTTATGTCAGAATTGATATTTCGTAGCAGGTTAGGAGAATTTACGCAGCAGGTTAGGATAATTTACGTAGCAGGTTTGGATAGTTGGGTTAGGAAAATGGTTAGGGTTAGCTAAAATGCTAAAAATAAATCAACTTTTGATGTCAATTTGACACAATATGTATTCCATCTAGCCATGGCCACATCATTGGCACGTGCTTCTTCTTCTTATTCGTGTAGTTTTCAGGCAGACTAGACGTTTTGTTGCATATTGCTGGCTTTAACAGGTCGGAGTGTGAATTTCACATTTGTTCACAAAAAAGGGAAAAGGGGAATGGGAGAAAAAAAAATTGCACCACCATCTTACCCTACATATACACCACTATCCCCAACAAACCCACCACCCCTTCCCACTACTTTTGCCCTAACAGATCCGACACCAGGCTGGACATTTCTGATCCCCAGCAACATCCCAGCTAACAACAAATGTTCCAACAACTGTATAATGTTCCCTTAAGCGTGTCGTTCGTTCAGTAGCTAACGTTTTTATAGGAATGTTCCCATGATGTGCAAGGAATGTTCCCATGATGTGCAAGGAATGTTTCCAAGAGACCATTCCGTTAATGTCAACTAGAACTTACCCAGAACGTGGTTACCATATTCTCAGAACTTAGGATATTAATGTTCTAGACATGTTTCATGTGTACATTGCAAGAACATTCATCTGTCTAGTTTTGTATGGGTTAGGAGAATATTCCATCAACGTCCCACCAAACATACACAGAACATGGTTGCCATGTTCTCAGAATATATGATATTAATGTTCTAGACACGCTTCATGGGAACGTTGCAAGAATATAAATGTGTCCAAATAACATTTTTATATAGACTGAACAAAAATATAAACGCAACATGTAAAGTGTTGGTCTAATGTTTCATGAGCTGAAATAAAAGATCCCCTAAATGCTCCATACGCACAAAAAGCTTACTTCTCTCACATTTTGTGCACAAATTTGTTTACATCCCTGTTAGTGAGCATTTCTCCTTTGCCAAGATAATCCATCCACCTGACAGGTGTGGCATATCAAATAGCTGATTTAAACAGCATGATCATTACACAGGTTCACCTTGTGCTGGGGACAATAAAAGGGCACTCTAAAATGTGCAGTTTGTCACACAACACAATACCACAGATGTCTTAAGTTTTGAGGGAGCGTGCAATGGCATGCTGACTGCAGGAATGTCCACCAGAGCTGTTGCCAGATAATTGAATGTTAATTTCTCTACCATAAGCCACCTCCAACTTCGTTTTAGAGAATTTGGCAGTACGTCCAACCGGCCATCACAACTGCAGACCCCGTGTATGGCATCATGTGGGCTAGTGGCTTGCTGATATCAACGTTGTGAACAGAGTGCCCCATGGTGGCGGTGGGGTTATGGTATGGGCAGGCATGAGCTATGGACAACGAACACAATTGCATTTTATCAATGGCAGTATGAATGCACAGAGATACCGTGACGAGATCCTGAGGCCCATTGTCGTGCCATCTCCTCATGTTTCAGCATGATAATGCACAGCCCCATGTCGCAACGATCTGTACACAATTCCTGGAAGCTGAAAATGTCCCAGTTCTTCCATGGCCTGCATACTCACCAGACATGTCACCCATTGAGCATGTTTGGGATGCTCTGGATCAACGTGTATGACAGCGTGTTCCAGTTCCCACAATATCCAGCAACTTCGCACAGCCATTGAATAGGAGTGGGGCAACATTCCACAGGCCACAATCAACAGCCTGATCAACTCTATGCGAAGGAGATGTGTTGCGCTGCATGAGACAAATGGTGGTCACACCAGATACTGGCTGGTTTTCTGATCAACGCCACTACTTTTTCTTTTTTTTAAAGATATCTGTGACCAGCAGATGCATATCTGTATTCCCAGTCATGGGGAATCCATAGATTAGGTCCTAATTAATTTATTTCAACTCTTTGAAATTGTCGCATGTTGCGTTTATATTTTTGTTCAGTAAATGTGTCCAAAGAAAAATACACATCATGTCTTGTTACTGTTGCTGAGCCAATACTGTTGCCAAGCCAATGAAAGCCCTGATTGGTTAGCTCTTTGTCCGTTGGCAAGGTTAGGGATATTCACACACACAGTGCTTTTAACATACAGTGTTTTCAATTTTCAGTACATATTTGACATACATGATTACATTGGACATGTTCATTCATACAATTATTATTATTCAACATGTCCTCAACTGGGATTTGAACTCACAACCTCTTGGTTCATGGTACTCTGAACTTCCTGGTATGCCACCATGTCAGGTATCAGTTAATCTGAGTATTCTCATCATAAAAAAAAAAAACTTATTTCAGCAATTGTATAGTTGTCTAATGTTGGTGGGGCATATTTGCCTGTTTTAATGATAAGACACACTTTATTAGTCCACACGAGATGGAAATGTGCATTCTGCTTTTAACACACACACACACGCTGTGCAGTGCCCAATGAACAGTTTAGGGGGTTAAGTTCCTTGACATCAGTGGTAGGTGGCACCTGAGATATTGATGCCAGCTACCCTCCAGTTGCTGGCTCACTCCCCACATACACTATTTTCTTGAGTGTACT